ACAAATTAGTCACACACAGTGTATGCATACTTTAGTTGAAAAGTAAATACAAGGATAATTCATGCCATTTTCATCTTTCATCTTGTTAGTTTTATATTTCTATGTGCAGTCTAAACTCATACACTTCAATTACTATTTTAAATTTTCTATAAAGAATTTAAAGATACATGTATTTGCTGTTACCTACCTATGAAAAAAGATTGTGGAGATCCTTTAAAAGTATTTGACTACAAAATCGAACAAAATTGAAACAAATTGATACAACATTGATGAAAGATTCACAATAAGAAAACTGGTACATTTTGTACACTAATTCATTTTAGAAATTTCTCTCATAACACTCAGTAAAATGTTGTTTATATCAGTTGCACTAAACACAGCAGCCAACCATTTGACTAACTGTGTGCTTTATCTGAGAGCAGAAGCAATAAAGGTTGGAAATTTCTCCAACAGTAATTCTCTAGAGAGTTCCCAACAGAAAAAGAAAGCTATTCTACTGGAAACTGTGAATGTGGGCATGAATGCGAAGTCCATGCTATCCCCAACCATTACATTAAAATCTTAAACCCCAAATCATTATAGATGCTTCACATTTTAACAATTAAAATTTCATGATGGAGCATGCCTTTACCTCATCAATCAGCAGGCTGAGGCAGGAGGATCACAGTGATTTTGAAGCTAGCCTGAAATACAGCAAATTCTGCCATAAACTTCACCATCCACCAAAAAAAGATATCAGTAGATATTACAAGCCACAAATAATGTCAGTATGTGTATGTATATATGCATATGTATGTATTTGGATGTACATATGAACATACATGTATAAATTATATAATCTGGACATACTGAAGTTCATATCAATTTATGTAGATCTAGATATTTACACCACAAATGTGTTGAATCACAGGAATGAGCACCCCAGCTGTGTTGTCTGAAAAACCCATTAGATGTTAAAATATATAAAAAGTTAGAGGGACATACTTTTATGAATGAAGATACTTTATTTGTAAAGATGTAAAATTCAGGAGAAAGTAGGCAATTAACCTGATAAGAAAGAATCAGGATGGGGCAGCAAAGAAATGAAGGAATCATCACCCCTTCATTCCTGGATGCTTTTTTTGGGTGGAGACCCTCCCACATCCAAAACTATCCATAACAAGACTGACATCTGGGCACCTCTGCCTAATTTTATTTTTCTTCTTCCTGTGTCTGCTTGTTTATTTATCTTTAACTGACTTTAAGGAGTTATATTTGGGTCAGGCAGCTGATTAAAAACTTATTCATAGTTAGCTTAGAGTAAGGTTGTGTATGGAGATCTATTGTGCTCTATAATTGTATGATGAATATTGTAATTCTAGACTAGGTAATATAGTGACCCTAGAGTTAATACATATTTGTATGATATGAGTGTGAAGATATACTGACAAACTTACTCTCTCCACACCTCCCACCCCTGGGTTTTCTTTGCTGATATTCTGTTAGACAAAGAGGTGGATTATCTTTTTTGTACTTGTCTGTCTTTCTGTTTCTTACCTGTCACCTGTTTATCTAGTCCTTCACTGTAAGTCCCAAAACAACTTTGTGTCCTTATCTTTTTTTTATATCTTTACCCCAGTCCATGTATTTCATCCCAGGGATATTCTCTATTAGATTTTGTTTTAACTCCCTCTAAGAAAGACTAGCTAGAAGGTATGAGAACTCTATTCTCTATGAACTACTCACACTACAAAACTATGTAATGTAGAAGCAATGACAATCCAAAATTTATTCAATTGGGACACAAATGTGTATAACATCTATTAAATTCCAACACCTAATAGAAAGTTGGGAAAACAGATGAACTTCTGAGTAAGATGTTAGATAAAATATCCAGAATTCTATAAACAAATTAATTAATTTTAAGATGTGAAAATCAGTGGAATTATTATTCAAATATGTGGAATTCCATTCTTGAAAATAAATGGCATCAATCTTTGGCATTTTGGCTAAGATCAAGTGTCAATGAAAAATGGTAAACAGCATGTGTAAATTGATTGCATAACACACATACAGAGTCTGAGGAGGAAAGAAATCCACAGTCAAAGTTTTCTTACTCAGCCCAAACCTGGATAGTACACCATTATAGTTTATTATTGTGGTAGCAAAGAAACTCCTTTTTGTTTGTAACCTCCACTTTAGGATCATTTGAACTTTTGCTTAACTCACTCCTTTCCCCCTAATTACATGTTAAGACATTTATTTTTAAATTTACTTTTATATTTATAAGCAGATAAGACTTCATTGTTAAGAGACAAAAATAATTCTACCATAACCAAAAAAGCATACTGTGTGTGTGTGTGTGTGTGTGTGTGTGTGTGTGTGTGTATCTGTACATACACATACACATCTACATGTGTATTATGCGATTTGGACATAAATTTGTACAAATAAATTATGCTGATCTAAGCCAATATAAGGGCAGTTAATCTGAAATCATTAACCCTGCACACTCAGCGTAATAGCAATAACATTCTACAAGAAGCTATTGAAGAGGGAAGTGATTTATTCTGTTTTGTACAAATGATGAATCAATTCACAACAAAGTATGGGAAGGCAGACTTTCAATAGGGTGAAAGAACAAAGTGTTTATAATTTTGAGCAGAGAAAAATGAGTACTTTTTACGATGAGGAACTTCTTGCTATCACTAGGAAAATGTGTGAAATTCCATAGTTGAGATATAAATGGCAAATACCTGAAGATTTATCACACTACATTTAACAACATATACAGCATAGAAATATAACAGTTAGGGATTTTTCTTTCCAGAGCAACCATTGTGGACTCTGTATCACACAATTTTACAACCACATGAACTTTGCTAATACCTATGTAAAGTCCCTTATGTGACCAATCAAAATATTTTATATGATAATGACCTTCTTTCTACATTTTAAAGGAATAATAAAAATATTTTCTTCTATTCTACCACTCTTCTAACTATGTCCACTCATACATGCATCTGTAGAACATGTAAAATGGCATCTGAGGCAAAGAGACATAACACAACTCTCTTAATTACTGAAAAAACTTTGGTATAAGAATATCTTCAAAGTGTTTCCTCCTCTTCACAGTTCTGAATATCTTTTCATTTTTAAATTTTTGTTCAAGGCTTTGCACATATTTCTGTGTAATATATGGATTAGTTTACCCCAAGAAGTGAATCTCTCCATTTCCAAAAAAAAAAAAAGTGAAAACAAGATATTTTTGAGGGCTGGCAGTATTCCTGAATTTTCTTCTCATTCAAAAAGAAAAAAATTAACCACAATGACATGAAACTGACATGACTCCAAAGTGACATTGAATTATAATCTTTATACCATTATAGCACTCAATTCCACTTGAAAACAAAAACTTCTCTCTAATGCTCGGAATATTTGTAATGGAAGAACACAATCAGTAACATGATTTCACTTATATCTACCTTAGATTTAGTCCCATGGCATGCATCATATACAAAATTATTTAGATATACATGATGCAACTATTTTAACAAGTTAATAGAGTACAAATATACTGAATTCATCAGCATTATACAACTATATCTGCAATCATCTTTTAACTCTACTGAACATACTCAAATTTTCTTCCAAATGTGTTTTAATTATGAAAGTAGATGCTAATATGAGGCCTAAGATTTATTTCTTAACATCTTTCTCAATGAACCTATGACTTGCTTATTTCTCAGGCTATATATTAGTGGATTTAGCACAGGGATTATGACTGTGTAAAACAGAGAGAAGATCATATCTTGGTCACCTGCTTGTGAAGACGCTGGGTGCACATACATGAAGAGTAGAGGGCCATAGTATAAAGACACAGAAAGAAGATGGGCTCCACAGGTGGAAAAAGCTTTGCTTGCCCCCTTTTCAGACTTCTTTTTTAAAATAGTAAGGAGAACAAGTGTATAAGAGATAAGAATAGTAACAATGCTGAAAACTTGTATTGAACCAGAGAAAATGAAAAGCATTAGATAATTAATAGCAGGATCAGTACAGGAAATCTTCGTCAGTGGTATGACATCACAATAAAAGTGATGTATGATGTGGGATTTACAGAAGGTTAATCTGAATAGAAAACTTTCATGAATTATGGCATGAAGAAAGCCACCTACAAATGATAACACTAGTAGATATATGCAACGTCTAGTGGTCATAATCAGTGGGTAAAGCAAAGGTTTGCATATGGCAGCATAGCGATCATAAGCCATTGCTGCCAGGATAAAACATTCTGTTGTTGCACTGACTACAAAGGAGAAAAACTGTATCATGCACTCATTGAAAGATATCACACTATGTTTCTCTACTATGTTAGCCAGCATCTTTAGTGTCACAGTGGATGACAGCCAAACATCTACAAAAGCTAAATTCCCAAGGAAATAATACATGGGTATGTGAAGGTGAGGGTCATTCATGATGAGAGTAATGAGACCAAGATTCCCCACCATCGTGGTGAGGTATATTGCTAGGAACACCAGGAACAGCGGGATCTGCCACTCTGGTTGATGTTGGAGTCCTGTCAGGGTGAAATCTCTCCACAATGTTGCATTGTTCATTTCTATGTCTCCTCACTGATGTCGCCTGGAATGAAAGGTAGTTTTTATAAAATTGAGATTCTTGAAGTTTACAACTTGAATATTTTAAAATAAAAACTGTGATAAAATCATTTTTATACAATGATAAAATCTATTTCTGGAATATATTGTACTCTGATAGAAGAAATTACTTTGGATAAAATAGGAAGGAAACATTAACCTTAATTCATAATAAAAACTGTGCTCAAATAGAATATTTATAGCAAAAGAGATGTCAAGATTGAAATAAATTTACTGTGAATATTTACTGTAGTAGCAAATACTGTTCTACACATCTTCAGAATCAAAAATAAAGCTATTGAAATTTCCATGAATGAAATATGAGTTGAAAGTCATATATGAGAATTTGAATTTTGTCGAGTGGCACATTTATGTTCAAGTATTTCAAAATATGAAATGATAGGATAAACTTTCTTCAATTTAAATATTTAGTCATATACAAAATTGCTGGAGAGATTTAAGAATAATCATCAGGAAGCAACTGCAATTGTCATTATCAAACTATATTGTGGACTAGGGTAGTTCACTATATGAAGAGTGAAAACTTGAGAAATAGAGTGAAAACTTCAAGAATTAGTGAAGAATTACAGTTCTAAAATGCCCCTCTAATGATGCACCTCTAATGATGTAAACACAACTATAGTGCTTAGTTCATATATGATGTGGTATATTTAATGAGAACTGATAACTAGGATTAGAATACATAATAGATATTAAAAGTTAGATAGTGAAGATGGGAGATATTTCTTCGTGACTGGGTAAGTAACCAGCAATATTGAAACTGAGAGCTTCAGCTTTGTGAAATTTGTGGTGAGAGCCTTAATTAAACATGGATCTACTCCATACTAACAGAAGAATTAACATGTGCATATGTAAATGTCATTGTCTCACTACTGTATGAACATGAAATAGTAAATAAAATTTGAAAGGTACAGTAGACACAGTTTAAGAAAAAAATCTGTTCATGGGAAGGAAAAACTGGGAAAGGACAAAAGAAAGAAGAGAAAATTGCCTATTTATGTGTATATACAACACAGGTTGGTTAATTTTACTGCTGATTTCTGCTGGTCTACTGACAGGAGAAGATTCAACTTAGTACTTTTCTTCTCATTTTTAATTTCTTATAACTTGTTTAACCAACTTTGTATGCTTATATCTTGTAATCCAAACAACTAATTTGAAGGCAATACTGTGCAAAACAATCACCAATTTCAAATTCTTATTTTGTTTAGTGAAATTCTGTATCATTTCTAATCCATATTTTCACTATTTTTCATTCTCTTTGGAAGATTAAATTATAAATAACATGGGTATCATTGCAGTGATTGGAGGTACATTATGGGTAATATATACATCAAAGATGTACACAAACAGAAGAGAGGAGAACAAAATATTGAGGCAGTTTTATTAAACACACTGGATATTATATTGTAAACAGATATCATTTAAGAGAAGGCCACCTCTGAAAGCCTTTCAAAGGCAGGAATCTTTTTTTGGCTGGCAGAGGCCACTACTGAATTGAGAACCCAAAAAGGGAAGAACTGGCTTTCTCAAGGCCTTCCCACTAAAATGAGAGGACTTCATGTAAATTCACACCACTAATGCACATGTGCACAATTTGTAATGTGGAGAAAACAACAGAGAAAAGAGAAAAGGTGCCTATAAAAATATTAACACTCAGGCAGGGCATGGAAGATGGTTCAGTAGAATAAAGACTTGCCTGGCAAGTGCAGGATCTTGAGTTCAACCCCTAGTACAAAAAAAAAAAGCCTCAATATATGCAACCTGTTTCTACATTACTAGCATCAATAGTCTGAGTTATGATATTTAAGGCAAAAAACAATGATAGAAATCTTTATTAAGATAATGTTGGGTCATAAATTCTCTGCTCATTGGATGACTTGTTTTCTTATTTTCTTGCCTTATTTTCTAACTGATAACAGTTATCTCTCTGCTGCATTTCACTCTGAGTAAATTGTTAGCTTTTTTTTTTGATATTGTATACTGTTATCTTCTTAGTGGTTATCCATAGTACAAGATACAGACTGGATATCCTGTCCTAACACTGTTAGTAAAAATCTTTCTTCTCATTGAATTAAGCAAAAGGAGCTGTATATCTAGCCCAACTATTCTGCATAAAAAAGATACAATATAGTCTTTCCTTTGTATCCCCTTTTTTAACTTAGTCCTGTCAGAGATGGGTATTTCATTGGCATCTAAATGCCATGGGTCCATGAATTCGGCAAAACAAACCAACACAGTCCAGCAGTCCACATAACCCAACTTCTGGGTTATCCACAGAAGTTGTTGACTTGAGCCTTTCACAGGTCAGCATATTAATATGGCTTTATTTTATTGGGGGGTTTGTTCGGAACCAGGGATTGAACTCAGACCCTTGCACTTACCAGGGAAGTGCTTATTCTACTGAGACACCACTCCAGCCCCTTCTACTGAGCCATCTTCCTGGCTCCAATATGGTTTTACTATATATACCTCATTTTTATACTTTTCTGCTGGATTGTTAACACCAAGATAAAGCCAGACCTATACAGCAAGAAATGTAACTTCTGTATCTGATAAGGTCAGTCAAGTCCCCTCAGGATTTATCCTGCAATCCTGTAGAAGCAGATTGCAGATCATTTTTCATTGTCAGCCACATGGATAAGTCACAGCCATTGCTTGACCAAAATGCTCTCTGTGAAAGGCTGAGAGAATGTTTTCTCTCTGTACATTTTTATTTAAGAAACACAGTTGGTTTTAGCACCCAAAGCATTGAACTGAACAAACAGGCAAGAGATAAGATGAAAATATGACCATGTACACAAAGATCCCTGAAAGAAAGAGAGAAAATAAGGAGAGTGTATTGGACCTGGAGAGAAGAAAAACTACTCCACTAACATACAAAGTAAAGTATATTACACAATGCTGAGCAAAAGTTCTAATGGGACATGGAATTAATAAAGTTTTTTGTTAGTGGAAATGAAAATTTTAGTGACTTTACTAGAAGCAAGTTCTATTACACAATAACATTGAGTTGGAAAGAGTTAAAAATTTATTGGTAAAAAGGAGCATAACAACAAAGAATAAAAGTGAACACTCAAAATCATGAAGAATGATTGGCATTTTTCATTGTGTGTAATCAAATGTAATCCACTGTTCCTGTAGAGCGTTTTAATTAAAGTTTTCAAAGAGAGAGGACAAGAATAAATAGAGAAACAGGAGAGGAGAAAAAGTAATTATGGGGTAGGTGAAAGAAAACAAGACAAATAAAAAAAAGAATGCATCAGTATAGGTAAATTTGTATACAAAAATCATCTCTTCACAAGAGCTTCTGACTGAATTACAGGTTTCTGATGGCCCTGTCTACATAATAGATCCAGTAATATTCATCAATTTCTACTGAGAACATCACTACTTTGCCTTCAAAACTGGACAATAAAATAAAAAAGGGCTTCCTCAAGTGGATATAAATGGAAAAATAAAGAAAAAAGGAATAGCTTACACTCAAAGAAAGGAGCCATATCCATCCATATAAATAAATAGCACCAAAATTCTACATAGATTTGTTAGGAGTGAAAAATCTTTCAGTGAAAAACAGAGCCACTACATAAATGAACATCATCACACTCAATATGTGTTCAAGAACTGATTAACAAATTCATTCTGGAAAGAGCAGTGAAAGAGCATTTGAGGTATATTTAAAGTATGCATATAACAATAAAACAGCACCAGAAGTGGATGAAACGGCATTACTAATATTCAAATGAGACCCAAAAATTACTTAATCAGAATTATGGTCAATAATACACAATACACTTTTTTTATGTATCAGAAATAGACCTTTGGAAGAATCATTATGCCAGGAAATTGTAAACATAGGTATACAGCATTTAAAGTTCAAGATCGCCGTATGATTTCATTAAAAGGAACAAATTAATCTCAGAGCAATATTCAATCCAAGTTTCCAACACAAATAAAATATGCAGAGAATACACTATATTCCATTCTTAATCTGGCTCATTATGTGTCATGTATACCAAAGTAAATGATTAAAAAATAAGCACTGTCTTAAATTTTGCAAAAATACATTTTTATGATATTATTTTTGGCTTACACATACCTTTAAAGAAGGAGGTACCGATCTGTGAAAAGTATCATTTTTATGGAACAGAAAAATACAGTAATTTGGCATTGCCCATAATAATTATTCTCATGATCCATGCTCAGGATAATATTTTGATATAAAATGTTGTCTTCACTGAACACAGTGTCAATCAGTTGTAGAACTGTATTTTCCAGAAGTGGAATGAGTGTAGATGTGAAACTCCCCTAAGAGTAGAACATTCCCTTAAGGACAAAGTGATGCTATTCTACTGGGCTCTGTGAATGTGGACATGAACAAGAAGTTCAGATTTTCCCCAGGCATTACAGACTTCTGAGACCATAAACACCAAGTCATCATACATGTTTTCATTTTACCACCTAATATTGCTCTTTCACTCAATATTATTTGGGATTTATTAGAGAAACCAGTTTAAATCTAAACTGTGCTATTGTGAGGGCTTTGATTGGTATTGTTCTGTCTGAGGTAATCAAAACATGATGTTAAGAAGAAAAGGTACAGGTTCCCTAAAAAATCTTACAATGAGTATGGTAATGTTCTTCATGAAAACTCTATATCATGCCTAGGAAAAAGTCTAGCTTCACCACTTTATAATGAAAATTGGCTAGCCGTGCTACTAGCCACATGTGAGAAAAAATTGCTAAAGAAAAAAAAGACAAGTTTTTCAGTGGAAAACATAGATGTGTCTGTTTCTGTGCTTCTAAAACAGAAACGTCTAGTAATGACCTAGAGACTTTATTATGATTCAGTTTTGATTCAGTAGATCTGGAATAAAGCATCAGAGTCTTACTTTGTAAATAGGTTATGTCTGTTGACATACCACCTGTACCACTGAAGAACC